CACACCATCGGAAAGAGCATCAAAAACTGAACAAAACGGTATGTTCAGAATTGTGGTTCGATTTCATTTGACCGAGCTATAAGCAAAACAAAATTTGAGACAAATCAAAAGTCCTAAACTTTTGTCCGGCGGTGTATATATGTATATATTTTTTTTATTCTTTTTTTCCACTTCTCCTTGATATGTATGATTTTATGTGGGGTGAAGCATTTCCCCATAAAGTTGAACAACTTCCGCCATCGACTGGTCCAATGGTCCACTGCTGTAAAAATTGATAAAGAAAAACAGTGAAAGCTCAAAAAGAGCATGGCACAATTTTAAATGGTGTTCCAAAGACAATTGAGTTCTAGAAATTTAAAATAGCAGGTTTTGTAGAGAATTAAAATCTCTATCAAATGAGACTTTTTTGAAGTTTTCAGTGATTACATAAGATAAATATTGTCAAATAATTTTTCTTTCATTGATAATCTAATCAAATTTACATAAACGACAATGTATTTTATAGAGTTCGTCACGTTCTTTTTCAATTTATTACATATAAGCCTAAGTCTTATCAGAGAGTGAATCGCGACAAGAAATATTCGAATTCAGATCTATAATATTCTAAGCGTTAAACTTGTTCGTGTTTGTATAGATATGTAGATATCACAAATTGTTCACAAAAGTTCACTGTATATGTAAGCAAAAAAAATATAGTATAGATTATTTGTTAATGATAATTATTTCAACATCTGTGATAACATCATTGTTATTTGTAGTTAATGTTGAATTACAAATACAATCATTATTTGCATCACAATAACCTGTCAATGAACCTTGTGTAAAAAAACAATATGTACGACAAGCAGCATTGCCACCAAATGAACATACACGATCCATGACATTTGTTTCCTTATCATTATTACACACTATATAAAATAAAAATTTTCAAATCTTCAAACTGATAATAAAAGACATTTACTTGATGTACTGCTGATTAGAATTATTAAGAAAACGATGAAAATATCAAATTTTGATATCATAGTGATAGTCTTCGAACTTTAATAAATTCGTATAAATTTCAAGATGTGAGTATTAAAAATATGCGTGTACATACATTGAATTCTACGTATCGTGATGAATCAATTTCTTAATTGGATTACAATTCAACCTTTCCTATTCAAGGTTGTCAATATTATATCGAATGATGGCGACATCCATTAGAAATATATATATATTCGTTATTCAGATGAAGTAAAGAAATTCTTTCGATTTTTCAAGATTAAATGTGAATTTGAAGTGTTTTTATCACTCTTTCAAATAGGCTATAATAAATTATATTTTGACCTACTTTACGATCGAAACTCTTGAAAAGTTTTTTATTGATATCAAAAAAATAAGTCATCTAACTTGAGTGTCTAGAAAAAATATAAGGAAAACCGCATTTTACAAGAGCTCGTTTGACAATGTTTCATGTCGAACTTTTTTCTCATTCAAACTTCAGACTGTGTTCTTTCAATAGGAAAAAGAATGAACTTTCTATGATGCTCTCAAGCGGAGAATCATGAATCGAGATTTCGCGAATTACTTTTGCATCGTAAGTAAGAATTTGAGTATCTTAATAAAACTTTGATTCCGATGTCCGAATCCGCAAGTTTTTGGCAGATTCTCATCAAAAAGCTCAGGACAATAGTATGAACTTGGAAGCAAAAACTCGGTGATTGAGTTTTTCTAATTCCGAGCAGAGCCGATCACCGAATTCCTGCTTTCAAGTTTGTAACCTTTTTCCGATTGAAAATGACCCGTAGTTCTTGATTTGAGCTTGAAAGAACAAAAAAAAAGTTTGCCTGTGTTTCTAATGAAAGATGTACTAAGTTCAAGCAAAATGTACACAGTAAATGTTATTGAATAAGGTAGTACTTTGTTTCCGAGATAATTATGTGTTTTTTAATGAAAAAATATTAAATTTCACTTACTCCGTTTCGTTTTTTTTCAAAAGGTTACTTTTTCTTTATCTCCCAATCTCTCCTTGATTATATAAGCGAAAAAAAAACCAGTGCTTCTACATCATATACACACCGTTTCAACTTTATGCTGTGTGAGGTTTGCGTAGGAGTGTGTACATCGCGTGTAGAAGAACTGAAAAAAGACAAATTTATTTTCCACTTATTATCTTTTT